AGGAAATCAAATTACAGAGGTGGCATTCAATTACCCGCCCTTCGTCGGCGTCTGTCTCTTCTCAGGCTGACACGGAAACCCTGCAGCGCATGTTTGACAAATTCACCAATAAGATCCTGACCTTCAAGAAGGAGAACTGCCAAGAGCTGGTCCCCATCTCTGAGTACAGCGGGATCGTGGCCCTCTGCAAGCTCTTCTCGTCCTTAGCCTCTTCGGAGGAAGCGGTGGGTGGCCCAGGAGGAGACACACACACCCCGGCCTCTGGGCCCGACCTCGTCTCGACTCGGGGGATGATCCAGCCTTGCTTGTACAGATCAGGACTGGGGAACATGGGTGCGGCTTGGTCTGGCGTGGGAAGGGCTCCTCTCAGTGTCCTGCCCAGTCTTGAGAGCAGAACGTTTTCCTGCTGTACTGCCCCACGTCCTTGAGATGCAAAACTGGAGAGCGCGGGGCTTTCTCGTTGGGTTTGTGACAGAGACACAAAGGCACAAAAGCAGACGCACACACAGTGCCTTCTCAGCACCCCTCCTGAACGGATCAAAACACAGTGGTGTAACAGCAGTTGTGTGCCTTTTGTGTGTGTCCTGGGTGGTATTCCATCCCTTAAATGTTACTGGAAGCTTTGGGCTCTCTCGCTGCAGAATGGGGCTGAGGGAGGCATCCAGATGTGGGGGGGCTACAGCTGCCAAAACCATTCCTGTCGGCTGAGCAGAAGCTGTCGCAGGACCCTGAGGGTCCAGCAGAGAGTCATTGAATGCTGGAGTGGGAAGGAGGGGCCCTCATAAGGCCATCGAGTGCACCCCCCCGGGGCTCAAGGCGGGGATCCCGATCCAAGCAGATGAGGCAGAGGGTTGCCCGGTTTCCTCTTGTGTAGGAGCAGCTTTCCTCGGCCCTGTTTGGGACTCAGGGGTCAGGGGCTTCCGGGGGGGGCTGCTGGGTACCAACCTCAGCATCCTTTCCCCCTCAGCTGAATCCGGCTGACAGCGAGAACTACACAGCGGTGGTGGAGATGTACTTCGTCTTCAGCATGATCTGGTCCCTGTGCGCTGCGGTGGATGAAGAAGGCCGGAAGAAAATCGACAGCTACCTTCGGGAGATGGAAGGCTCCTTCCCCAACAAGGTCCCCCAGATCCCTTCCCCCGTGGTGGTGGCGGTGGGCAGGACGCGTGAGGTGGGCTGGGCAAGGGACTGGTGGCTCCAGTGGTGGGAATGTCAGTGCTTGGGGAGGAGATGGCGCCAGAGGGGATAAGAGGGCACCGTTGTCTGAAGTCTAAAAGGCGGGAGGGAAGATGAGAACCACTTATCTCCAAGAGACGAGACCCCATGAGATCCTCAGGGGAGGCCTTTCTCTCAGTCCCATCATCCTCACAGGTACATTTTGTGGGGAGACACAGGAGAGGGGGAGGCCTTTCTCTCAGTCCCATCATCCTCACAGGTACATTTTGTGGGGAGACACGAGGCCTTCTTCTTCGTGGCCTCTGTGAATGCAGACAAATGGGTTTTACTTGCCTGCGCAGGAATATTCTAGATCTTATAGGACGTGATTAGTAGGATGTTGCCCCATGGTGTATATACTCCGCCTGCCTGTAATACCTCAGTTCCTTTTAGCTGCCACTGAAATCGGACTTCTGCAGTGATTACTAGAGTGATTTTCTCAGTCTTACAGTTTTTTAGAGCGATTTTCTGATTTTCTCAATCTTACAGTTTTTTGATCTTATGGGCTGCCTTACATTTTCGATTCCTGGATTACGGACTTGATCAGTTTTTCATTTACTGACGTTTCCCTGTGAGTTATTTTTCTTCCATCTTCTCCCACCTTCCCACCCTTTTTTATGGCCTCTTCAGGTCCATTTAAGCGCAGACCCTTCGTTTTTCAACAATCATATCAGCAACCTTATCGTTCTTACAAGCCTTTCATTCTAGCTCCAGAGAGGTCCAATCTTCCATCTTCCTCAGTTGCTCCTTCTTTCTGCTCTCAGGCACTCGCTCAGCAACATAGGCAACCTTTCCGTCTACCTGCAAGAAAGAATAAACAATATTTTTGACTTGATCCTTCCAAATCTGTTGCCTTGCTGTCCCCATCATCCCCATCTGACTCCCTTTCTTGACAAGCAGTCCATTATCAGTCCCCATCATCCCCATCTGGCTCCCTTTCTCGACAAGCGGTCCATTATCCCCAAGGACTCTTGGGTGCTCTCTATCATACAGCACGGTTACCCATTAGAATTCACTGACCGACCTCCACTTGGCTATCTCCGACATATGACTTACTCACCTGCCCTAGAGAACAAAGTTTCTCTTCTCATCCAGAAATACACTATCCAACGAGTACCTTCCCAAGATGTTCTAAACTGTTTCTGTTCTCAGTACTTTACCATCCCCAAACGTGATGGAGGCCTTCGCCCCATCCTGGACCTGCGACTTCTCAACACCTACATCCATCCAAAGCGCATTCGCATGGTCACCCTGGAATCCGTTATCCCACTGCTTTCTCCAGATGATTGGTTTGTGGTCGTAGACCTACAAGATTCGTATTTCCATATCTCCATTCATGAACATCACTTTGAATACCTTCATTTCCTCTTCATGGACGGGGCTTACCAATTCTGTGCCCTCCCCTTCGGGCTGTCCACCACTCCAAGAACTTTCCCTCTCCTGATGCCAAGTGTATGGCCCCTGTGGCTGCCTATCTTTGTTTGAACAACATCACAATCTTTCCATATATAGATGATTGGCTGATAGTAGCAGGGTCATACTCCACAGCCCGAAGGGACTCTGCCTTTGTTCTTCTGACTCTGGCAGGACTTGGTTTGCAAGTCAATTTCAAGAAGTCCCATCTCGAACCATCGCAGACCATAGACTACATCAGGGCGCATCTCGATTCGATCAAGGCCAGAGTTTTTCTCCCTCACGAACGGATATCCAAATTGACAACAGCTATTTGCCATTTCCAACCTCATGCCACGGTTTCTGCTTGGCACACCCAACATCTCCTAGGCTTGATAGCCTCGACCACTTCCGCGCTCCAACACACGAGGCTCAAGATGCGATCTTTGCAGGCCTGATTCCTGTCCCTGTTCAACCCCCTGTTAGATCATCCTTCAAAGCGTCTTCTTGTCACTCCGGAGTTAGCTCACCAACTCACTTGGTGGACCTTTGTCCCGCACCTCCTTGTAGGGCATCCTTTTCGACCTCTTCAACTGACTATACAGTTCATGACGGATGCCAGCCCAATAGGATGGGGCGCACACTGTGGTGATCATGAAATTCATGCTCTGTGGTTCAACTCGGAAAAGCTACTGCATGTCAACCACCTAGAGATGCTAGCAGTCATCAGGGCTTTCCAAGCTTCTCACCTCCTCATAGCTGGTCGCAGAGTCCAGGTTACCACGGACAATATGACCACTCTGTATTATATAAACAAACAAGGGGGGGTACTCACTCACTGGCTCTTCTATACCTTGCAATCCAGCTATGGGAATGGTGCTACGACCACCACATCTTCCCTGTGGTCATTCATATATCTGCAGAGGACAACAAAGTTGCCAACCATTTGAGCCGTCTGACCACCCAAACCCACGAGCGGGTTCTCGACAACTCTGCCTTCCACCATCTCTGCAACCGATGGGGAACACCAGGTCTCAACATTTTTGCCACCCAGACCAACTCGAAATGCAGCAACTACTGCTCTCGAGCAGGATGCGGTGTGAATTCCCTAGGCGATGCCTTCATGGTAGACTGGGGTGATATGTCCTCCTCTACCTTCCCCCTCCCTTCCCATTCCGCTTATCCAGCGGACAATAGTCAAGCTCCGCCAGCTGTGAGCCAATGCCATCTTAATAGCACCATGGTGGCCTCAACAACCCTGGTTGACTCCTCTCAGGGCCATGGCGGCCAAAGTCCTGAGACTGGCTCTTCGGCCACACCAGCTGACTCTGAACAATGGTTGTGTTTGCCACCCTGACCTGGAATCTTTACACCTCACGGCATGGAGAATCCCCCCATCATAGCGGAGGTATTCCTTCCCTTATATTCTGTTTTATCCAGACAAAGTTGTCTTATACCCGACATCATCTTCCTCCCTAAGGTGATTTCAAATTTCCATGTTAATCAGCCTTTGATTCTTCTGACGTTGTTTCCATCTCCCTCTTTGGATGTTGAGTGCATGCTCCACTTCCTTGATGTTTGTCGCGCTTTAGCATTTTATGTTTCCAGGACTAAGGAATTCTGCACCTGCCCCCAGACTTTTTGTGTGCTTTCATGGCCCACGAAAGGGCTCTCCTGCCTCTTTACCGACAGTCTTGAGATGGATTGTCTCTGCTATTCCTTTAGCCTATGACTTGGCAGGCAAGGCTCCGCCAGAGGTGCTAAAGGCACATTCCACAAGAGCGATGGCAAAATCTACAGCTTGGTCGCCTGGCGTTGAAGTCCCTGACATCTGTCGAGCAGCCACTTGGTCTACATCCTCGACTTTTGTGATTGCATTATCGTCTTGACCCGAGAAGGAAGCAAGTTTCGGAAGGGCGGTGCTGGCTTCATCGTTGGCGTGACGGCCCTCCTTCCGGTAAGTGAGCTTGCTAGTCACCCATCTGTGTGCATTCACAGAGGCCGTGAAGAAGAAAGAGAGGTTACTTACCTGTAACCCTGGTTCTTGGAGCGGCCCCTCTGTGAAGACACACCTCCCGCCCAGCCTCCTCGCTGTCCGTCCCTTGGTGTCTTGAGCTTTGTGGGAGTCAGAGCCTCGACAGCCACAGACATTTTCGGAACTGAGGCATTACGGACGGGTGGAGCACGCGTGTCACGGGGCAACGTCCTACAGATCATGTCTTTTTAAGCTCTAGAATATTCCGAAGAGCCTCCCATGAGGTTGGTGAACCTTGTCTGGGCAGGGAATCCCCCCCTTTGTGACCTCGCCCTCTTTGCTCCCAGGACACAGTCTACGAGTATTACGTCGACCCAAAGCGGAAGCAGTGGGCCTCCTTTGAAGACCGGCTCCCGAAGATGTGGAGATACCCCTCCAAGTGAGTCCCCTGGTCGGGGTGGTGCCCGAGGGCCCTTCGCTGCCATCCCTACCTTGAAGCGGGTGGGGAAGTCTGGGTTTTTTTGGCCCACCTGCCCCACAGGTGTCCTATCCTCAGCTTGGAAAAGTTACTCATTTGGACCGTGATTAGGCCTCGAGCCTCCCAGCCCACAGGGCCGGTGTTTATGCTGGACCCGGATGGGGTGTAGGATGGGCTTCGGGCTTTGCCCTGAAATAGTAATGGCTCCACTTTCTGAGTTCTGTCCCCGAGGGTCCTGGAAGGTAGCAGGTGGACCACGGATTTAGAGCAAAGAGAAGGGGCACCCTCCCAGATCGCATCCTCCGAACTGGCAGGTGGACCAGAAGGGGGGGCGGTTTCTGTTCGTGGTTCTCAGGATCGGGAGGCAGCCATGGGAGGGAAGCGATAACCTTGGAGGCACCCCGGAGGAGGTCAAGGTGGGCTTCTTGGAAGAAGGGCCGGCCGGAAGCTCGGTCCAATCCTGCAGGTCTCTGCTTGGTTGCTTGTGTCAAAGACGTTTGAGAGACGCGGAAAGAGGCTGCCCTTCCCGTCCTCCGGCCCTGCAAATCAGGAGCCAAGCCCCTGCGCTCCTCTCTTGCAGCCGTGACTGTCAGCCGGCCGTCAGAAGGGTATCGCGCTGGCGGTCTCCTTCTCACGGCTACGCCCACCCCATTTGGCTTATCTGTTGCCCGCGTCCGATGCCACCGCCTTGCGCGGCCGGTCTGGTTGCCTGAGCCAGTGGCTCGGATCCGTTTCCCACCCCTTGCTCCCTAATCTTAACCGGGGCCTGAAATTCCCGGAATGGGGTCCCAGCATCTGCCACGGGCTGCCGGCTGCCCATGGCCGAGAGCCGGGTGGAGGGATGAGCCGTCATTAACTTTGGGGGGGGGGAAGAGCTTCCTTCCAAGCTGTCAGGCTCCCCGGCGGGGGCATGGGGGGGCGACAGACAACTGCAGAAATGGCGTCTCGTGTCGCATGTCTTCATGCATTTGGGCCCAAGTCCTTTGCGGTGCTGTGACAACCGCGTCCAAAAAGGGCCGTCACTGTGCCGGGGGGGGGCATCACGCCATGTTGTTGTTTTCTTCTTCCTGCCAGGAAGCTGTTGGCGGTGGACAGGGAGAGAGAGAGGGAAGTTCTGGGGTCTCGTGGGCCTGGAGCAACCCCAATTGTGGGGCGAAGGCTGCTCCCCCCTCTTCAGTTTAGCCCTGGGTCTTCCCCTTCCCTTTCTCTCCCTCCACAGTGCCCCCTTCTATAAGATCATCGTCCCCACCGTAGACACCGTGCGCTACAACTACCTCGTGAACGCCCTCGTCTCTAACCAGAACCCGGTGCTGCTGGTCGGCCCAGTGGGGACCGGCAAGACCTCCGTCGCGCAGGGCTTGCTGCAGACCCTGGACAGCACCAAGTGGGCCGTGCTGGTCATCAACATGTCCGCCCAGGTAACTGGCAGGCAAACGGACGAGGCAGGGTCCCCATCTGGGTCTTATTGGCCCAGGCTCTCTTCCCATGGGCCGGTCCGTGGGCCGGTCGGCAGTCTGCTGAAGAGAGGCTGCCCACCCGCTTCTGTAGAGGAAGGCCTGCTCCTCATTTCTGCCCCCCCGTTTCCCTTGACAAATGCCCCCCTGCTCTTCCCCGCAGACGACCTCCAACAATGTGCAGAGCATCATCGAGAGCCGGGTGGAGAAGCGCACCAAGGGCGTCTACGTGCCGCTGGGGGGGAAGAGCATGGTCACCTTCATGGATGACCTCAACATGCCGGCCAAGGACCTGTTTGGCTCCCAGCCGCCGCTGGAGCTGCTGCGTCTGTGGCTGGACTACGGGTTCTGGTACGACCGAGCCAAGCAGACCATCAAGTACGTCAAGGTGAGCCCAGCTGCTCCTCTGGCGCCGTCTCCTGCTTTGCGCTGGAGGGCGGCTCGGAAAAGAGGAGGATCCGCTCGCCCGAACTGTGGGCGGCCTCCGCGGATGCCATTTGAGGGTCCCCAGGTGGGAAGGCAGGCAAAGAGGGAAAACAGAAGGCTTTGGAAGTCCTTTTCCAGGTTTGACAAATGGGCATTTTTCACCGTGAAAAGTTGCAGAGCCTTGGAAGGTCACCAAGACCTCTTTAGAAGAGGGCTGTGGCCCCTCCAGGCAACCGGGGACAAGCCGGGGAGACGACAGCAGGGGCCCTGGGACCGGGCCATCGCCCATCGTTGCCGGGACCCCCGGGGATCGCTGACCAGTGCCCCCCCACTGTCTCCCAGCGCCGCTACCCTGAGCTCACTGCAGCTGTGTGACTGGTATTGCAACGAGGCCGTCTAGACACCCATTAAATGCAATCACCCTTCTGCCCGCAGTGTCTCGTTGGCCTCCCTCCCCTCCACCTGCCTTGTTTGAAAACTCAGCCGCCGGTGGTGAGCGGAGAGAGGCTTGTGCTGGAATAATTGTCCTCTCTCACTGCTTGCTTTCAGAGAGGCTGTGTCTCTGAATTTCAAGAGCATTGGCGCAGGCTGGGGGGTGGGTCGGGGGAGTGGATGGGCACGAAGAGCATCGGGCTCCAAGCCGGAGGGTGGCACGTGCGCCTCTCCGGCGATGGCAGCCTCGGCTTCCGCTTCCACCACCGCAGGGCCCCGATTTGTATGCTGCCTGTCTCCCCGTCTTCTGTGGGCTCCCTCCAGACCGCTTTAGTGTCGGGCTACTAAGCCACTTTTATGGAAAAGAGGAAAGTGCGTGGTGTGTGTGTATGTGTGTGAGAGAGACAGTGAGCGCGCACTTCCTTTGTTTTCCTTTGGTTTTGATCCTCGGCTGCGCCTGTTTGTCATCCCCCCCAGGACATGTTCTTGATGGCAGCCATGGGGCCCCCCGGAGGAGGGCGCACGGTGATCTCCAGCCGACTTCAGAGCCGCTTCAATCTCATCAACATGACTTTCCCCACAGTAAGGGCTGGGGAGACATCCAGGCGGTGCGGGGGTGTGTGGGGGGTGTGTGTGTGTGCGTGCTCAGGGGCCAGGAGTCAATCTGGGAGCTGGAGAAGCCCCTGGCTCCTTCCCCTCTCTCTTTCTCGGAGTCGGGGGAGCCCCGCCGGGCGCATCCAGCTGGCCTTCCGGCTTCCACTGCCTTCCCAAGGTTGAGGGGGCGGGGAGCCTCCCCCCCCTTGCGCAGACCCAGGCTCCAGGCAGCCTCTTCCGCCTGGCGGCCACTGAGCCACCACCCCGGGCCACCCACAGAATCCACACGGCTGGGGCTGGTGGAGGGGCTGGAGAGAGGGATGGAGGCCGAGCGTCCAGGTGGCCCAGGCTGGTGGCAGGGACAGGTGGAGGCCGGCGGCCGGTAGCCCAAAGTGGTGCCTCGTCCCTGCCCAGTTCCCCCTCCCTGGGCTTGGTCCAGCCGCAAACCTGCTGGCAAGCCCCCTTGACCTGAGCAGGAGGCTTTCCATGGGGCCGAGCGGGGCCTGGCCGGGCGGCCCACCCCCCTCCACAGCCCGGGTCCGCAGCCTCAGTTTCCCCCCAGACTGGGCCGGCGAGAGGGACGCTTGGGCCTTTCCCTCGTCCCCAGAACAACTTGCTCCTGCGGGTTCCTATTCCTGATGGGGCCCCAGAGATTCTGCAGTAGCAGGTGAGACTTTATCTGTCGCCTCCGAAGTTCACGGTGTTTCATCAGCCGCCCCACGGCCGTGGGACACACCACCCCCTTGTTGGCTTGAGTTGCGTCTCAGCTGGTTTTTAATCCCCCTGAGCTGGAATTCGCTGATAATAATAGTCGCCGTAGAATGGCAGGCGTCTCAGCTGGTTTTTAATCCCCCTGAACTGGAATTCACCGATAATAATCGTTGTAGAACGGCAGAGCTGGAAGGGACCCCATGGGATCATCCAGTCCAGCCCCTGTCAAGAAGGCACACTGTGGGGCGGGATTCGAACTCCCAACCTTTGGCTCCGCAGCCAGAGACCCTCCTAGACCCCTAAGCTCTCCAGCAGTTCTTCTGAAGAAGGAAGCCTCTCGTGGCCCCGGGAAGACCCACAGGTTGCCTCGGGACGAGCTCTGAAGACGTGGCCCAGAGTTCACGAAAGCGGAGCCCAAAGAAACCTTGTTCGTTTTTAAAGGCGTTCCGAGACACGCTTGGGTGGTTTTCGGTGCGACCGACTGCCAGCGGACGAGGCTGCCTCCCTCTCGAAAATTTATTCAAAGCCTTTGTTCTCCTCCTCCCCAGCCCCGGTAGTCACGTCTTTGCTTTAACACTGCGTGTTGATTAATGTTTTATTGGGCATTGTTTTACTGTCATTCAAACGTTTTTTTGCGGAAGGTGCCTCGAGAGGGATTTGCATATAAAACTTCCAAGTGAATAAAATGATCGGTGTTCGGGAGGGTACGATAATTAAGAGTGCAGGGGAGGTGGCCGCCATGGACAGGGCTGGGCGGGTAGAGCCGGGAGCAGCTGGAGGAAGGTCGGATCCTGCTGAGGGGCTTCCTCTCCAGCCCCATTGGAGGTATTCTCCATTCGGGCTGTGTCCTCCTTGCCCCTGAGTGGAGAAGGGAGGCTTAAGCAGGTCCCTTGTGACTCCTGGCAGCATGGCCTCTGGGCTCCCCGCCTTCCTGTGGGTGACGGGTGACCCTTTTTTGGGGGGGAGGCCTGCCTGTGGCACTGATCCTGACTTCTGACCCTCGGCAGAAGCCACACGTGCCACTGAGCCCTCGGGGTGGGGGGAGCCGGGACAGCCTCCCTCTGGCAGGGGAACGTCTCCAGAAAGATGCGCCAGCCACCTTGCCTTTACCTCCCAACCTTTGGGCTTAGGTGGGCCCGAGTCGTCCTCGCTTTGGCACCGCCGGCCCCTTGGAAGCCACCCCCCTGCTTCGTCTTTTCCCCACGCTTCACAGGACTCCCAAATCCGGCGGATCTTTGGGACCATGATCAACCAGAAGCTGCAGAATTTCGACGAGGCGGTGAAGCCCCTCGGCAACATCATCACGGAGGCTACAGTGGAGCTCTACAACAGCGTGGTCCAGAGGTTCTTGCCCACCCCGGCCAAGATCCACTACCTCTTCAACCTGCGGGACATTTCTAAGGTAGAAGGCGGCCAGCTTTGGGGCTGAGGAAGGAGAAGGGCAGGGAAGGGCCAGCTTTGGGAGAAGATGCTGGTCCTCTGAGCCAGGAAGGCCGGGTGTTGGTGGTGTTGGTGGTGTGTGTGTGGGAGAAGGTGTGGAAGGGGACAGACACCATGTCAGGATGGCTCCATTCTCGCCCACCTCATGGTTCTCTCTTTCCTTCCTTCCTTCCTCCCTGCCTCCCTCCCTCTTTTCCTTCCTTCCTTCCTTCCTTCCATCCTTCCTTCCTTCCTTCCTTCCTTCCTTCCTTCCTTCC